AAAAGTAAGCCAATAGCTCAGTGGGGCCTTACCTGGCAAAATAAAAATAGTTTAGGTATTTTTTTGTGATTTGGCTTTCTTTCTCATACTTGGCACTCCTATCGTGTTTTTGTAGTGTTTGTTGTCGTCACGTTCTGACCCGCCCCTACTGTGAAAGAGAGCTTTGTAGCTCACCGGAACACCTTCAGTATAAATCTACGTGACTTTATCGAAAGAACCAAGAATATGAGCAAATGTGTTTGTGTCCAGCACTAATTTTCGGCTTCAGAATATTTTTTTAGGGAAAATGTATGATGTTTAGGGAGGAAACAAGGTTGTTCACCGGTGAATAATTTCATTCTTCATGTATGTGTATGCCTTTATTTATTTGGCTGTCATACACGACATTTTCACTTACAGTTTATAACTTCTGCAGCCTACGTTGCTTTGTTTCAATATAATAGATTAAAAATATATTTTTTCAGTTGTTTGTTTTTATGTATGTGAACAATTGACACCTCGAAGTGATGGAGAGTGAATATGCGTATACACGACCATAAGAATATTGACTTAAAGCTTTCGTGACTGCAGGAATTCATATTCTTTGGGTCTTTCGGTAAAGTGACGTAGATTTAAAAAAAAATAACAATAAAATAATAATAATGAAAAAAAGTGAATAAAAAATAATACATTTATTTTTTTGTCACTTCATTTTTATTTTTTATCGTTATTTTTTCTTCTATCTACGTGACTTTACCGAAAGACCCAAAGAAGACCCTTCGGTAAAAAATAAATAATCTGATTATATTTATTGGTTAGCACACTGGACTTACAATTTCCAGAAGTCGCCGGTTTCATACCATCTCCCGGCTCGGCAGTTGCAGCAATGACTCGAATGTCTCACGTGGTTTCCACCTCTCGCTGCCGACTCAGCAGCATTGTTGAGTTTTTCCCACAGCTGGGCTCGTCTATCGATGGTGGATGAAACTGTGGATGCCGCCCACTTATTCCAAACACGTATGCTCAATGTGGAAGAGTAGACCAAATACAACTCTAGAGTGCCTTGCTGATTTCGTCAAGGAACACAAACCGTCACCATGAACCCCGGTCACCCGGGGGCTTTTGGCAAGCCATCGAACAAAGACGGGTCACTGCATCGCACACGCTCAGATGTGCTTCTGCGGCCGTCTGGAACGCTGTTCCCTCCGACATTCGGAAGCCGTTGGAGCTATGCACATTTACGTCTAGATTGAAAGTTACTTCTTTAAAACTGCTTGTTGTGTTTAGTTCGTTGTCCTTCCCCCGCACCTCCGATAAGCGCAGTTGGCTACGTACGGTGCGAGAGAAGTTCGACAAACATGCGTGCCCGCTCAGTGGAGGGATGACCTTCCGCCAGCAGTGCCGTGGGAAAGAAATTGCAGGGATACACCTTTATCTCTTTTTTTTTTACCGGTGCGTGTTAAAGAGGCGTAAAAGCGCAGCACAGTGGAGCTCAGGATTTGATTTATTAATTCAGTGCCCATCCCAAACATTTGTCGGTGAATTCTCTCAACAGCAAAACATTTCCGGAATTTAGAAGATATGCGATCCACGGATAACCCCATGGGAGATTATGCCGATCGATTGGGACAATCCCACAGTTATGTAAGGCAGCTCTTCTTTATATTTATATTACTGTTGTTTACGTATCACATTGATGTTCATAAATAATAGCGAGAGCATGTGTGCGTTGGCTTGTATTCGTGCTGTAACGATGCGTAGATATATCAATTACAGGTAGATTGTTGCGCGTCATATTGTGCGTGTAAGAAATGGATAATAATTTCCGAAGAGAATGTCCTACGCGGAAACGGAGCGATTAAATCAGCTCGTGCGCAGCAGCTAGATGGATTATTGTATCACCAGATCGTGAGAGAGCAACGGCTGGGAGAGCCCTTAATCCAGATGTGTATAGACCTGATGATCATGATCATTCCTTGTATGTAATTGGCGCAGTTGAAACGAGGCCACTAAATTAACCACAACCGATTATCGGATTGAATCGTGAGGATGATAAATTGCTATGCTGACTCCACACTATGTGAGTCTTGTGCAGATTCACGGGTAATGCGACGCTTCTGCCGATGGTTATGGATGGGAGGTGAAACGTTGGCAGTTGGTGGGAGCTGGAGTGGGAAGGGAAGAGTGAAATATTATAAAGGGTGACAAGAGATGGCGAAATAATGAAGGAGTGGTAGCAGTGCCGGATTAAGTTAGTGCGGGGCCTGTAGCATATGTTATAAAGGGTCCCTAAATAACAAAAAAACACGTAAATATTAAAACACTAATTTTTTACTTGCATAGTAAAGTTATTGTATCTTTTTCCATTTGCTACACAGCCAGATAATCGCTAAACTAAAACACTCAGTCGTTCATCAAAGTTGAAGGCAGTATAGTACTATAGTAATAGAGCAAGTGCAGAATCACTGAACCGAAATTCATAGTTATGAAAGCGTTTAGCGCGGGGCCCAATGAAAGTGCGGGGCCCGTATCATGTCACTTTTGCTACTAGGATAATCCGGCACTCAGTGGTAGGGCGTAAACTGGTAGCTGCTATTAAATGTATAAATTGTTCATTAATCTGCGCGAATATTCCGTGATGAGTAGTCGTTGTCGCTCTTGAAAGCAGCGGCGATGTCGTAAGCGTTGGAGAGAGGAGGCCGTAACTTAATTTTCAAAGAACGTTTGCCGATGTCCATACTCTTTGGTTCTTTCGGTAAAGTCACGTAGGTGAAAATAAAAAAAATAAAGTTAATCTAAAATCACGACGTTTCGGAGGCAACGCAAGCTTCCGTCATCAGATGTAACAAGCACAGCATTTTTTTTTACAGTAATTTTCCTGTGCTAGTTACACCTGATGACGGAAGCTTGTGTTGCCTCCGAAACGTCGTGATTTGATTAACTTTATTTTTTATTTTTACCTACGTGACTTTACCGAAAGAACCAAAGAGTATGGATCATTGCAGTCACGAAAACTTCAAATCTGATAATTTGCCAATGTGTCAGCCCTGCTGTTTTTAAAGCAACATAAATGTATTTAATTGGTGAGACTTTGGGCTTGTTTCATGTCGAACTCTGACAATGCACTATGCCACAGTACCGTATATAGCATTGACATACTCTTACACATTTAATGGTGAAATTTGTGCAATACATTTATTTCATTCGCATTATTATTCTTGTATTTAATGCGTTATCTTTTAAATATTATTTATGACCCCTTTAACGTATGTGAGGTTTATTGATTTATTTGCAAAAATAAAACGGCGTGCTATAATAACTCTCAAGTTTAAACACGAATATAGTAAAGCATGTCTTATGAAAGGACTGTATTGACATGTATTACTTTAGAACCATCGTATCTGGATTGCTGGCATGAGGGGCAGATGTGCTCTGAAGAAGGATCATTTCCCGACACGTCACATATTATATACTGTAGTTCTCCTTTTAAGGCCACAGTGTATAACGATGAACGTGTTGAGTTATTATTTTTTTTCATCAGATTTCTACGTGGCCAATAGTCGACTCCATGGAAACGATGCACCGTCTGAATATCCTGACCGTGTGTAGGTTGCCATGCGTTGCGTGGTAGATTCTAAAAAGTTGCAACCATTCGAAGACTAATGACGGGCTTCATGTTCAGTGAACAGCAGTGTGAGAAAATTCAAGCAATCTTCATTCACACTTGAAGTGCATCAATATAATATATTATTATTTCGCCCATACCTCCAAATACCACAATTGGCTACATACGATGAGAAAGAAGATCAACATACATGCGTATATACAAAGCACAAAATCTAGATGATAAAAATGTGAAATTCTATTACAAAGTCAAGGGAGAATAACATTGTATCACTATCATGATCATGTCGTGAAAATTATTTTTGCGTCATATCTTATCTTGGAAAGTTAAATCGCTGCAACTCTATAGTCTAAAGCAACAAATATACTGTCCGTTGTCTTGTGCTTTAAAATAATCCAGCTTTGGTTTTGATTTTGGGAGGATATTAGTTGTGAACTATTCACGTGGACTTTGTGAACTGCTGTCATGTGTTAGGGTGTCTCTACGATGACAGTTTACGTACAAAGCAATAGTGTATCATTAAACAATTATACCACGACATAATTAAGAAATGACACCGTGGCACCCTATTTAACGGCGGATCTATCGCGCGTGCCCCACGTGCACGTGTGCATGCGTACGTGTAGGTGTAGGTGTGTGCGTGTGTGTGTGTAGGTGTGCGCGTGTGTGTGTGTAGGTGTGTGCGTGTGTGTGTAGGTGTGCGCGTGTGTATGCGCGTGTGTGTGTAGGTGTGCGCGTGTGTGTGTAGGTGTGCGCGTGTGTGTGTAGGTGTGCGCGTGTGTGTGTGCGCGCGTGTGCGCGAGTGTGTGTGTAGGTGTGCGCGTGTGTGTGTAGGTGTGCGCGTGTGTGTGTAGGTGTGTGCGTGTGTGTGTAGGTGTGCGCGTGTGTGTGTGCGCGCGTGTGCGCGAGTGTGTGTGCGCGTGCGCGTGCGTGTGTGTGCGCGCGCGTGTGTGCGCGCGTGTGCGCGAGTGTGTGTGTGTGCGTGTGTGTGTGCGCGAGCGTGTGTGCGTGTGTGTGCGCATGTGTGTGTGCGTGTGTGCGCGCGTGTGTGTGTGCGTGTGTGTGTGTGTGTGCGTGTGTGTGTGTGTGCGTGTGTGCGCGCGTGTGTGTGTGCGTGTGTGTGTGTGCGTGTGTGCGCCGCAGCGGTAGTGTAGCGGTTAGCGCTGCGCTACGAACCGGCCGAACCGAGTTCGATTCCCGCTCACGGCCACCAACACCAGTGACGATGACCCGAACCGAGCCTGGTCCTCCCCTAGGTCGACTCAGCCTTAATTGTGTACCCACTACGGTGTGTAAAAAACAAACCCATCCACACTGAGGGAGACAAAGGCGGCCGGCCGTGGCGTCGCCCTCTCACACCCCCTCCCCCCCCCCCCACCACCACCTTGTGCCACAGTGGAGAAGGAGGGCGAGTTCCCACCGGAGAGACGGCACCACAAGCAGTTCCGCTTCGACCTGTCGCGCATCCCCGGCGGCGAGGCCGTCACCGCGGCCGAGTTCCGCATCTACAAGGAGCGCGCGTCGCTGCGCCACGACAACGAGACGTTCCGAGTCGCCGTCTTCCAGATCCTGCGGGACCGGTGAGTCCGCGCGTTTCCTTCCCCCGGGGGGACTGGAGCCCTACCCCCCCCCCCCTCCTTACTCAACCACCACCCTGAAGCCACCACCTCGCTAAAGCCACCACCATCACCCTGAAGCCACCACGTCGCTAAAGCCACCACCACCACCCTGAAGCCACCACCTCGCTAAAGCCACCACCACCACCCTGAAGCCATCGCCTCGCTAAAGCCACCACCACCATCACCCTGAAGCCACCGCCTTGCTAAAGCCACCACCACCACCACCACCCTGAAGCCACCGCCTCGCTAAAGCCACCACCACCACCATCACCCTGAAGCCACCGCCTCGCTAAAGCCACCACCACCACCCGACACAGCCAATTAGTAAGGTTTGTCACGGCACGTTCATATTTACGTGATCTAACGCCAAAAAAAAGTTTGTATGGGCTCCCGTCTCTCCCTGCTCTGTCTTCTTCTTTTCTGTCTACCCTCACGTATGTATGTATGTCGAACTTCTTTTGCACCGTACGTAAACAACCGCGCTAATCGGAGGTGCGGGGAACGACGACGAACTCAAGACAAAAGGCATTGCTAAACAAATTAGTTTGTAATCTAAATTTAAAAGCGCATAGCTCCAGTGGCTTCCTATTATCGGAAGGAAGAGCGTTCCAGACGGCCGCAGAAGCGCATCTGAAAGCGCGCGATGCGGCGGTGACCATCTTTGTTCGATGGTCAGCCAGAAGCTGCTGCTGCGAAGATGACCACCGGAGTTTGCGTGATGGTTGATGCTCCTTACCACGATACATATATATGATACGGTGTCAATTTCCCGACAGTCATCGAATCTGTGCGGTCGGCGGTGGCTATGCTGTGCACGTGGCTTGCCTGCAATCCGGCACCGTGGAGGCGGCAGCGAGGAGGGTTGGTGGATCACAGCACAGACGCTGTGAAACTCCCTGAGAAGGGGTTGTGTCCTGGCTCGCAGAGGGGAATGCAGTACAGCCAAAAACGTGGACTCCAATTCTAGATTTAAAGCTTTCGTGACTGCTAGGATCCATACTCTTTGGTTCTATTGGGTAAAGTCACGTAGGTGAAAATAAAATGACAAAAAATCACGACGTTTCGGCCACAACACAAGCGGCCTTCATCAGGTGAAGGGACGAGACTGTCTGGAGGACAGCGCTGGAGTGGAAGAAGCCACGCTTAGATCACGACCTTTAAGCAGTGTGAGAAGATAAAGAAGACCAAGCGCCTTGACAAAGGAATTAGCATATAATTTAGCATTGAAATGGCTCATTGAAATAGCTAAGTTAAAGTATACACATCCGCAGAGGTGCCCCTTGACAAAGGAATTAGCATATAATTTAGCATTGAAATGGCTCATTGAAATAGCTAAGTTAAAGTATACACATCCGCAGAGGTGCCCCTTGACAAAGGAATTAGCATCGAATTTAGCATTGAAAAAAACCTTCCCCCCCCCCCCCCCCAGCGCCAAACTGCAAGTCCACCGGCACGTACACCACCTCTTTCCTAAAATCCGCCAATCAAATGCTAATTTTTATGCTAATTTCTTTGTCAGAACACCTTGTTTGCTCGCACACAGGTCCGATGTCTGAGCGTGGCTGTATTTCGCTAAATTCTCCTGTTTTATGAGTACTAGGTGCCTCGGTGAATGTATATACTCTAACTTTAACATAGCTATTTCTGTGACCAGTTACTAGCTAATCACTCAGCTATTTCAATGCTAAATTCGATGCTAATTCCTTTGTCAAGGGGCACCTCTGCGGATGTGTATACTTTAACTTAGCTATTTCAATGAGCAATTTCAATGCTAAATTATATGCTAATTCCTTTGTCAAGGCGCTTGGTCTTCTTTATCTTCTCACACAGCTTAAAGGTCGTGATCTAAGCGTGGCTTCTTCCACTCCAGCGCTGTCCTCCAGACAGTCTCGTCCCTTCACCTGATGAAGGCCGCTTGTGTTGTGGCCGAAAAGTCGTGATTTTTTGTTATTTTATTTTCACCTACGTGACTTTACCCAATAGAACGTGGACTCCGCCTGTTCTGTCTCTATGGGATAGAGCGTTTCCCCCACACACGCGTGGGGTTTCTCCGGGGTGCTCTGGATTTCTCGCACACGTAAACACTCGTGAATTGGGGCGGCCAACTGAACCTTGGCATAGGAATGTGGAATTTTCACCACTAGCTTAGGGCTGTACATTCTATTCTTGTGTATGGAAATATGTTTAGGACCTAATTGCCAATGTCAAGGTCTGCTCGCCATGAGAGCGCTCTCGGAGAAAGTTCATGTAGTTTTGCCATTCCTCCTCATTTGAAGAGGTGCAGACCACACAGTGGTTTACTATATGGTCGATAGTTTGGTTGCATGGTGACAATCGCACAACTGTGGCTTGTCTTTATTGTATAGTATGTCTCTATGAGTCTCTATGTTACATATGTATGTATGTTGAACTTCTTTCGCACCGTACGTAGCCAACAGTGCTAATCAGAGGTGCGGGGAGTGTGTCCCTCTATCGGTCTCTATGTGTCGCTTTGTATCTCTAATTGTGTCTATGGATTTACTATACAGGGTGTTTAAAAAGATGGACCCGAATTGAAATCACTATATCTCTGCAACCACGAACCGCCTATGAATGAAACTCTTACCACTTGAAAGGGCGGGGCATAGAGAGGGCGGGGCATAGAGTTTCAAATGATTACCGCTAAATGCCTCTCCCAGCGCACAAACAGCCCCTAGCCTCAGTCATTCGCAAGATGGTAACCCCGCAACACGTTTAGCGTTCTGCAATTCAGCAAGACTGAATCCGTAATTGCGGTGCAGCGTTCGTTTCAACGTCATTTTGGCATTGATCCGCCAATGTGAAAGAGCATGGTGGCACAAAAGACCGTGTTTTTGTGCCACCATTAGCGACGAATCTGGATGACCTCAAAAACAGAATCTCGGCAGCGGTGACTTCAGCGGAAGAAGACACTTTGAGAGGCGATTGGGACGAATTCAACTATCGTCTCAATGTTGTCTGTACAGCAGGTGGAGGGCACATAGAGCATTTATAATATGGTTAGTAAAACGTAATAACTCATTAAACCGTTTGTAGCTTTTTGTGTAATTGTAACATGTTGCCATCGTGAAATATACTGCTTTGAAATTGGGTCCATCATTGTTAAACACCCTTTATCGTCTACAGTTGCACGGCCACAATCGTACTGCCGTGGCTGCGCCTTTGATTTTCAATTCGTGAAGGAGATGCGGGCATCGGCCTGCTGATGTTCTGATGCGGCCGATGGCCGCACCGGCGTCTCCGAGGGGGAATGTCAAAGCCAGGAGGCTGTGATGTTTGGGTCTTGTGCGAGGCGTCGATTCTGGAGTGGCTGCGAAAAGGAGATGAGTGCCGGCACCTACTCGTCTGACGACAAACGGCACAACCGGCGTGTCAGAATAATTGCACAGACATGGGCCATTACGTGCATCTAAGTGCCTCTGCCTCGACTCATAATTGCAGGGCATAATTGCACGTATTTACGACTGTTCATGCGCGTCGACCATTAAAGCAGGTGTCCCAATACAACGCATTGCTTGTTTGTGACCAATCCCAGGGCTACCTGAGGGGGTTCCAAACCGTTTGCAGTCGAGAAGAACTCCTCGGAGACGGAGACAAATGAAAGACTTATTAAAACAGAGTGTGGCTCGGCTGCTTTGTTAAATATATTTACTCAGCGTAGGCCAATTTAACGGTAATTTTTGCGATAATTTCTTGGCGTGACTCGTGGGCGCTTTCAGAGAACTGTTTGCCGTCAGGTTCGCGCGTGGCACGAAGCGGCTAAGGGTTGTCCGTCAGGCTCGCGGGAGTACTCAATCAGTCCCCCTTACATCCGTACCGGAAGTGCAGTATAATAGCCGCGTTGATGCCAACTGTTCTCTGCCATCACGGTGAACATTTGCCAATACGTTAGAACCCCTGCTAACGACGAATCGCTTAACGCCGGGCCTCCGTAGAGCTCAATGCGTTCGCTTACCGACCATTCCCCTGTTACCGACGTGCTTTTGTAGGTACAGTAATATTAATTAATGCATTCATTAACCATGTTTCTTTGAATATTATGTGCTTATAATGTGGTTAGTATCTTTACGTATTATTATCATTAAAAAATATTATAAAGTACGTTTTTGGGGTGAAAAAGGATAAATTTCGATGCTATCGGAACGCATTAAGCCTTGAACGTGTATTTCCTATACTCGCTTAACAACCAAGGGGCCACCCATAAATGACGTCACGCACCTGGGGGGGGGGGGGTCAGACATTTGTGATGATGTGTGACGTAGGGGGGAGGGGTTGAGAAATGTGACGTCACATCAAAATGCGCAACTTTAAATAAATATAGGCAACACGTTCTACTTAATTAAATAGACTTTTTAATAAATGTTTTCTCCTACAACATCAGAGTGCAGCGCCACATTAAATACGCACTACAATGCCAATAGTGTAAAGCGATTTGAAGCATGTTTTATATATTGTTTTGGGGGGGGGGGCAGAGCTTTGTGACGTCATATTTGAGGGGGGGTCTGACTTTTTGTGACGACGTGTCACGAGGGGGGAGGAGGGGGGATCAAAAATCGTCCAAAATCACGTGACGTCATTTATGGACGGCCCCCCAAATCACTTAACGACCGGTTTCGTGGAAACAATTGCCGTCAATAAGCGGGGTTCTCGTGCAGTTCCTCTCCAAATTCCGGGCCAATCTAACACGGGCACTCCTCTACTCACGAACATTCGACTTACGAACTTTCAGAGCTATACGAACAAACCTGTCCGTATGTCCAGTTGCTCGTTCGGACCGAGAGTCGTAAGTTCAACGGCCGCGCAGGTAGATGCTGGCGTTTGTTCAGTGTTATTAGCCAGCGTTCCCAGCATTCCTGCCTGGGCCGCCGCCGTGGCCCTGTTGTTGTTGTTTAGTGTGCACGCCGTACAACATGTTTGGAATCGACAGGAGTAAAGTTGGACTT